TAGAAAAGTAATCAAAAAGTAATCAAGTGTAATCAGTTACATTACTTTAAAATACAGTAATTGAAATAGTTACACTACCTATTACATTTTAAATAGGGTAACTTGTAATCTGTAACCTATTACATTTCCAAAGTAACCTTCCCAACACTGACTGTATAAGATTTATTTATTTATTTAAATACTATAATCATAGTAACACGTTTTATATTGCCATTGTTAGGTTTCCATTACATTAAGTTCAGTGCTTCATGGAGTGAGCAGATTATTCACTTAAGATTTTTATTTTTTTACTTTAAAACAAAGTTTGTCAGGTTTGTGGAAGCCTGTTTCCACCACTGAATAAAAAAAAAAAAAATACTTTTTTTCCTCAGAACTGCAAGTTCATATCTTACAAATCAGTTTATATCACACAGTTCTTAGAAAACAGACAGAATTGCGAGATGTAAAAAAGTTAGAAATGTGAGATAAAAAGTTACCTTTTTTTATTATTACTATTCAGTAGTGGAAAAGTGCTTCCATACATGTTTCATCTGGAAGCGTGTCTATTTTTTACACACATAGAGAAAATGATTGTGAAATAGTTCCAGAAGCAAGGCTGCTGAGAAAGTGGGTTGTCACTGGTGTGCTGTATAGCTGTTTAAAGAGAGTATGCGTTCATGACTATGTTTCTTAGTTCACCCAAAAATGAAAATTATTTCATAATTTATTCACTCTCATGTTGTTCCAAATCTATAAGACTTTGGTGACAAATTAAGATATTTTTACATAAATCTGAGAGGTTTCTGTCTCTCCATTGAAAGACCAGGTAACCAAAACTTAGAAGATCCAAAAAAGCAATAAAGGCATCAAAAAAAAAATTTATAAATTTGAATGAATTCATATTTGAATAAAAGGTGAAATTAAGTCTCTTCATTATAAAAAAAGTGATTATTTCCACAAGACTTGGATTAAACCATTCAATTCACATGGATTAATTTAAGAAGCCTTTTCAGCTTTTTGGATCTTCTGCGTTCTTGGATCTTTTAAGTTCATCTACACATATTATGTCAGCTTACATGTATTTGAGCCCCTTTGCAAACCAATTTGAATGAGTTGCTTTGACCCAGTAACCTGGTTTATGCAAGAGACCACCTCACTTACAGAGCTGACATTTATAGAACCAACGATTTGCAGACCAGGATCAAAAAAACCTTTACCTGTGCCTGAGGATTTGCATAAATTAACTGAGCATTGGTTAAGAAAAAAAGGTATTTACAGTATTGTCTATTAAACCCCGGGTGTTACGGTTAAAGGCACTCGCATTTTGACATTTCATATCGAAATAAGATCAAAAACCTTTGGTGTTCGGAAATGAATTTTAACGGAGCCCAACCTGCATGAGATTGTGATGCGTTTATTGCTCTTTTTCCATTTTCTGTAGATGAAAGATGTGGGTGGCTGAAACCAGCCCAGAATTCATAATGAAATATCAGAAGCCAGTTTAGCAGCAGGTCTGTGGTGGTTTACACATTCTCTGCTGAAGCATCTGCTCACAAACACCAGCGGCTTTGGATTTGGCAGTTCAAGTATCCCTGGAGTAGAATCCCAGAGAAACTCTCCCAACTGACAAATGATCTCTTGCGGAGAGGAGGTGCTCTCCTCACAGTCACCTGCTGTGTGCGAGTGTGTGTGATCTAGATGATGAGTCACACTAAATTTAGCCTCATGTTTGGTGTCCCCCAAATTATTTTATTTTATTTTATTTTATTTTATTTTATTTTATTTTATTTTAATTGTATTTAATTTTATTATTTTATTGTATTTTATTTTTAAAGAAATGCCTAAATAAATAACTGACCCTTGAGACATTTTGCACACTTTTAAAAATAGGACTTTTTACAGAAATAATATACTTTAAAGAAAAAAGAAAAAAAACTCTGTTTTCCCCAGACACCTAATTGCATGTATTTTACAATTAAATAAAAAAGTATTAGAGAAAACAGGTTCAACTAATTTATTTTATTTTATTTTATTTTATTTTAATTGTATTTAATTTTATTATTTTATTGTATTTTATTTTTAAAGAAATGCCTAAATAAATAACTGACCCTTGAGACATTTTGCACACTTTTAAAAATAGGACTTTTTACAGAAATAATATACTTTAAAGAAAAAAGAAAAAAAACTCTGTTTTCCCCAGACACCTAATTGCATGTATTTTACAATTAAATAAAAAAGTATTAGAGAAAACAGGTTCAACTAATATTAAAATGCAATTAGTTGCACCATTTTCTTGATATGTTATTTCATAATTACTTTTGCTGTCTGAAATATGGTTAAAGTCTGTCATATGTACTGTTGAGCATATATATTAAATTAAAAGATATTTTAATGTAATTTCTATTGAAACGTACGTCATGCATTTTGATATTTTTGTAATTACACATTTGTAATAATGAAGTTGCAATTTAATACATTTAAAACAACATTAAATGTGATATCAAATAACACACTACAGTTTAAAATTGTCAAGTACTTTACATTTGTTTTAGTTCAATCAAAATAACTGTACTTTAAAGCAGAAAAGGACATTATCAAAACATAATGATTTAAAATATACTTTAAATGTTTTAGTTTGAAATTATTACAAAGTCAGTCATAAAAGTGTGCTCTCTTTAAATACGCATAAGCATCCTTTTTGCATTAATAATATATTATCTGCAAATACAGTTTTACTTTTACATTTACACTACAAGTTTTCATTCAGTACAATTAAGCTCGCTGCAAGGTTTCTGAAGACATTGCATGTCATGTTGCAAAAAGGTTAAAAGTGTACATGCAAGAAATCCTGAAATTAATGCACAAAATGTAAATGAAATCCACAGAATCACTCAGAGATCTATATTGTATCACAGCAAGTAAATATGAGTTGTTATACATAAAAAAGCAGAGCAATTAAATGTTCGCGCAATTTTGATGTTGATTAGTGCCCTTACATTTTCAAATGAAACTTGCACCACTGCTTTAGTGTGTAAAAGCTTGTTCTCTCTTCACTTTTAGGTCGCTTGGCATACCTCCAGGTAGAGGAAGCTGTCCTCTGACTGGCCCGTTGCCCTTTGACCTTATCTATACAGACTACCACGGCCTGCAGCAGATGAAACAGCACATGGGCCTTTCCTTTAGACAGCACAGGTCAGTTTGAGCCTCTCTTCTAAAAGCTGAGCTTCTGAACATCTGGCTTCTAACCATAAAGACATTTCTTTGTGTGACTTTTTGAAAAAGTTACAAAACTTTAATTTTGATTCCATAGGGGCTTTAAGCTGCTGTATCATATGCTTTATAATGGATTCTGAGTCTTTATTGACTTGGGCACGCCAGCAATCTCACTGTGAGTTCTCAGTCCCTTCCATCAGTGAGTTCAATAATGAATAGAGATGAACTCATACATAAAACACTGATGAGTACAGCATAATACTTCAGAAATGTACCTCATAAATAATGGATATTTGTGTCTCATTGCTCACACCAAGACCGCCACGTGCATAATGTATTAAAATTATTGGAAGATCAATTAGGGACCATTTCTCATTTGTCAGTTGTAAAATACAGTATGTCTCTGTATTTCAGTCTGGGAGAGAATAAGACGGATTTGTCTTTTGTGTAATAAATCAACCCTGTAGGATTCAGTCTCATTTTTTATTGCACTGCAATGTTTACAGCGGTCCAAGTCTGAATGCTATTGCTCTTTCCAAGTGTCACACAATGAGAAATAATTTAATAATCTTCACATTGCTATTTTCATACAATTACAAAAACTCTATACTTGTGCTAAATTAGACACTTACTTGCGATGACATAAAAATATAGATAACATTGATATAAAAAGCAGTTAGCAGAACTTTAGAGTGTTTTTTGACCTACTTAAAAGGACATAAGCACAATTTTATATGTATTTACAAAATTAATTTGTCTTTGAAATATGGTTTAATAAAATACAAGCATTTTTGGTAAACTAAAGTATACTTTAACATAATTTCTATTAAAACTTGTATGTAATGTGTTTAAATATATTAGTAATCACACATTGGTAATGATGAAGTTGCAATTTAGTACATTTAAATCTATTAAAGGGATTGTTCATCCAAAAATGAAAATTTGATGTTTATCTGCTTACCCCCAGGGCATCCAAGATGTAGGTGACTTTGTTTCTTCAGAAGAACACAAATGATGATTTTTAAGTCCAGCCGTTGCAGTCTATCAGTCGTATAATGCATGGCAATGGTAACAAAATCTATGAGAGTAAAAAAAAACATGCACAGACAAATCAAAATTAAACCCTGCGGCTCGTGACGACACACTGATGTCCTAAGACACGAAACGATCGGTTTGTGCCAGAAACCGAACAGTATTTATATCATTTTTTACCTCTAATACACCACTATGTCCAACTGCCTTGAACCAGGACACAGGAGCCATTTCCTAAAGTCAGGAAATGATGGTATTTTAAAATATTTTCAGATTTTAGGAGTCATGAGGTGTAGTCTGATTATGTGATTACTAAGAATATCTACTCTATATTCGGTCATATATCATTGCATATTTAATCCCATTAATGAGATTGATATCTAAAATGGAAAGAGATTTAATGACTTCAATTTCACTGTGTTCCTCACACAAAGATATCACATGGCCTCAGAAGACTTGGAAATTAAAAGCACCACAGCGGTAGTCCATTTGACTTGTGCATTGGAAGTCATGATCTACCGCTGTGGTGCTTTTCATTTTGGAGCCTGTCAGCCCCTGGTTACCATTTACTTTCATTTTATGAAAAATATAGAGCAGTTTGAACAATCAGCAAAACATCTCCACATGTGTTGCATGGAAGAAAAAAAAAACAAAGCCACAGAGGTTATTGTCTTTAATGGGGAAATTAATGAAAAGCATTCCGCTAATGTGTATAATCACATTTACAAGACACACATCGTTTTGTTTGGTGGAATGGGATGTGTGAGAATATTAGCTTGTCTGTGCATCACCACATAACAACAACAACAAAAAATCAACACAATTGAGGGTATAGTGAAAAAAGCACTTTTGTTTTTCGGTCTAGGTGCCACATCCGCGTGATCGACACCTTCGGCACGGAGCCAGCGTACAATAATGAGGAGTACTCCACACTGCATGGATACAGGACCAACTGGGGCTACTGGAACCTCAACTGCAAACAATACATGACCATGTTCCGTAAGTCTATGACTGCTTATTACTGGCTGCATCATGACACTATCGTCTTGTTAGAGCTGCCTCACAGCAGAATTTGACTTTGGCTCATATTTGAAATGTTGGTAACTCTTTAGATTAGGGAACACATATTCACTATTAACTAAGGGTTTTCCCTCAATAACCTTCTAATTTGCTGTTTATTGATAGAAAGTAAGGTAGTTGTTGAGGTAGTTATGTTAAGCTATTGAATAGGGTTGAAGGGTCTTAGAATAGTTTAGTGACACTATTTTTGTATTTGTGCCAGATAAATACTGCTGTATTCATTTCTATGTAATGTGCTACATAGTAACACAGATACGAAAGTTTGGTTACAGTTAATTGTAAGATGTCCATGTTACAGTGTAACACTTTATTTTAAGGTGTCCTTGTTACACATATTAAATGTACTTACTATCATAATAACAATTAATTAGCAATATAATTGCATAATTACATGCAAGTAACCCTAATCCTAACCCTAACCATATAGTAAGTGCATGTAGTTAATTGATATTACTCAGTACTTAAATGTATAATTGAACTGCAACAAGGACACCTTAAAATAAAGTGTAACCGTGCTGAGTAATATGAATTAACAACATTTAAATCTTACTATATGATTAGTGTTAGGAATAGGGTTTGCTTTATTGTTAGTTGCATATAATTATACAGTTACTAATATAGTAAGTACATGTAACGTAACAAAGACAGCATAAAATTAAGTGTTACCAAAACTATTGTTTCTACCAAGTATAGTTTAGTTATCTATTTATTATTAGTAGCTTGTACTGTGGCTAACTTCTTTATGAAAGGGCTGAGTATCTTGTAGCTGCTCTAATGCATTTATCAGGCTGCATTATAAAAGTCTTTTAGTAATCACAGCACAGAAAAGGAGAACAGTGAGCACGACTGGGTGAGTGTTTTGTTTGGGTACCAGATGCTATAGGCGCAGAGCATCTGTAAGCAGGAGAAGAGCAGCAGATGTTGTCAGAGCTGGAGAGTGTTTGTGTCTGTGCAGCATATGCACAAATCTGCATCTCTACACTGCAACTGCTCCTCATTTCAATATATTAACACCACACAAGGTTGGCCCAAATTCAGAATTTAACAATTTGTTCCCTTTCAGTTCATGAGTGTGAATTTGAATTGAATTGGCTGGACGCCCCACAGGATGACGAATTGGAGTTCGTATCGGAATGATAGAAATTCAACACATAACAAAGATTAATTTTCAGTAAATGTCTCTTTAGAGTAGAACAGGGTTCCTCAATTAGTTTTCGCCGAGGGCCAAATTCTGCTAACAATACCAAGCCAAGGGCCACTGACCTATATATATATATATATATATATAAATATGTAGCACCGTGTGTCTCAACCAGACTCAACGCGATAAAAAGTATCTTTTCCATGTAGTTTTTGTCCTATCCACCCGCGACAGCGACACGTGACAATAAGCGATGTAGGATTATTTTTTAGAAATGTTTTTTTTATTTTCTGCGATGTCACGGCAGAAACAACATACAAAATATGACAGTGATAATCTCAGGTAAAGATTATGTGCTTTATTCAATGTAAAAAGTGTCTAATGTGAGTTTGAATATTATTTTGCGTGATCTTTATAGCCATTGTGAAAGCAAGAATAGATATTTTACCTCAGATCATGAACCAACACGTGTATTCCATAAAAAGATGGTATCAGTCACTCACTCACAAAAACTGTTCAGTCCATTCACATTTGAATCATCTATTTTCCGTGTCCACTTTTCTTTTCTTCACACTCGGCATGTTTTTGCTGTCACATCGTATCTACACTGGATGCGACAAAGCATTGCAAATAATTAATTTGTTGTGTCAGTACGTTATAAATAGAACAAGTCAGCAGTTTGCTGTTGAGGATTTGTCGTGTCATGCCGCATCCAGTGTAGACAGCATCACTGATTATAATGGGTTCTGTTGTATTTTGTTGCGTTGTGCCGCACCGCTCACGTTCGGTGTTGACACGATGTAAGTTAATAATTTGAACTTTGTGTCAGTACGTTATAAATAGAACAAGTCAGCAGTTTGCTGTTGAGGATTTGTCGTGTCATGCCGCATCCAGTGTAGACAGCATCACTGATTATAATGGGTTCTGTTGTATTTTGTTGCGTTGTGCCGCACCGCTCACGTTCGGTGTTGACACGATGTAAGTTAATGTCGCTTTCTGATGCTGCGTTGGAATTTTCATGCCACATTATTTGAAATTAGCACGGGCCAAACATTTTTCTCTCACGGGCCAGATGTAGCCCGCGGGCCGCTTATTGAGGTGTATAATAATGTTTTTTTTTTGTTTTTCTTCTTTTTTTTCCCCCCTCAAACAATTAGACCGTTCTTGAACTATATTCAGTGGAGTCAAACCATTAGCAGCCATCAGAACTAATTTTCTTATACAAAACCACAACATTTTCTGAACATTGGTATGTTTGTGTATAAATATTATATATTAATCAAAATTACATTTGAGAAATGAAACACTTCACCCATAGACAATGAATTTTATTAAATCTAATAAAAATCAATCAATAAATAAATAAATAAAAACTAAATACTAAAATATGTGTCAATAAAATGTCTTAATAGGCTATCTTAAAATGGTTATGGAAATAATCCATAGGTTGTGTGTATGTGTAATTCGTACTGAATGAATGAATGAATGAACAGAGCTGGGTAGATTATCGATTACTAATTACAGATTACATGATGAAAACTGTAGTTAGTAATGTAATCTAGGTTACTCATTTTAGGTAATATATTCTACTTTTTAGATGACTTTTTATCTAACTTGTTTTTGTTTTTGTTTTTTTATGAATGATTATGCATGATTTACTGCCAGTGTGTGAATATGTAAATATGTAATCCATAAACGTAACTGTAATTATTCTAATTAATGTAAACTCTAATTGCGAGTACTTGATTTTTACAATATGATTACGTAATCCAGATTACATGTGAACAGTTACTACCCAGCTCTGTGAATGAATGAATGAATGAATGAATGAATGCACGAAAGCACGAGTGAGCAAACAAACGAACAATTTTTTTTTAGGTTAATGCTGTTGTTTTTAATTAATGTTTTTAATTACATTATATAAATTTGTGTTTATGAACTGTTGAAAACTAACATTTACTTGACACCATTTGCTTTTTCAATCCACGTTCTTGTTCTTACTTTGCATAACATTTTAAAAGAAACAAAAAGTAAAAATGTATAGATGTTATATGGGCTTCTTGTTTCATTTTATTTTTTAATCATATGAATCACAATTCTTCTGTTTACATACCTTACATTCAGCAATCAAACTGAAACGTTATGGGCATTCATGAAATGATTCTGTTTGCTGCTTCTCTTTGCAACATTCAAAATTAATGTAGTGGTCTCACTGCAATGCACTTTTTTTTTCTCCGCAGCACACACTCCTGATAACTCATTCATGGGTTTTGTGACCGAGGAACTAAACCAGACTGAACGATTCAAAATAAAGAGGGACAAAGTCAACAACATGGCTGTGGTTTACGGCAAAGAAGCCAGTATGTGGAAGGTAAGAACGTATATGTCCAATAACAGCCTGTCAAAGCAGTGCTTTTCCCAATGGTTAACAGAAACAGCAGAATTAGCAGAATTTTGACACTTTTCTACAGTATGTACCGCCAGCCTTGCTCAGCATTTGAAAGCACTGTGGCGTCGCTGCTGTAGACTTGCTTTCAGTCTGTGTAACTGTCAGAACATACAGAGATTGATTGCCTGGCTCCTATCATGGCTTGTTGGGCACACTGATTGCGCTAAAGTGGCGTTTGGATGTGCTGACAGCAAATAACATCAGGCTGCTTTAACACGCTTCAAAGCAGGATGAAAGCAAACATTCTGCAGCATCGAGAGAGACAGGCTGTGAACATCGCTGGAGGAAACTGCGCCCACCCGTCCTCCAACAAAATAAATAAATAAACCTTGACAAGTAGCAGACTTTAATCAGAAAGTGTGTTCAAACCGCCGGGCGTTTGGGAGCAGAGATTGGTTTTGATGAGAGTAAAATGTACCCCGGGAGCCGCGAAAAGCTCAGAGTCTTTGAAGAATGAAGTCTCCACGTTTAACCTGAATGTTTGACTGCCATTTTTAACACTGTATTCTTCAGCGCCGTGTTATTGTGTCTCTGTGCTGCTTGAGGTGTGCATTGCCGTGTATGTTTTGTTTGACAGGTTGCTATTTAAAAGCTATCTGTGCTATGGAATCCCTAAACACTGACAGTTCCCTCCGGGCCAAATGGCAGCCCACTCGCTCTCATTGTGCATGTGTCACTCAGCCCAGTGCTACAAATGTACGCTTAGAGATTGGAAAGACAATCATCGCCCCTTTGTCCGCTGGTTTTCCCCCTTCTAATTTATTTTTTGGTCTCTTGTCGACCGTCTCGGCTCACTTACAGCTCCAAGTCAGAGCGTGACAATCATTTCATCAGTTTAAGGGTGAGAAGGGTTCTCACGGTCATTGGAAAACCTGAAAGTACCAGAGACTTCACTTGACCTGTAAAAGTCTTGGAAATGAATAAAATATTAAAGTAACTTACAGTAAATATACATTTTTAGTAGTTTAGCTCTAAAACTTTTTTTTTTACTTTTTTGAGAACAATTATATATATATATATATATATATATATATATATATATATGTGTGTGTGTGTG